GATGATTTATTAATAATGTTTTTATTGTTACAGGAGAGTAATTGATTTATTCGGTTAGTGTCCAATAAATTTTGGAATCAAACTGAAATAATTCAATTTTTTTTTTTTTTTTTTGAGAAAGTTATTTATATCTTATATATGGAGAGTCCAATATGTCTGAATTGTAAAAGCTGAGTCAAATGTCTCTATAAAATATAATAAAATACATTCATCATCTGAAGTAATTAAAAGTGTTAATAACACACACACACACACACACACACACACACACATATATATATATATTTTTTTTTGGAGAAAGTTATTTATATCTTATATATGGAGAGTCCAATATGTCTGAATTTACAATGCCTTTAAGTAAGTGAGGCAAAGAAGCAAAAGTGAAAAAATAACAATTAACTGAGTACAATCTGCTGTAACGAGCTAGGAAATTAGCTGCTTGATTTCCTTCTCGATAGACATGGTTGAAAGAGACATTGGTTCCCGAGACTAGATATATGAAAACTAAAATAAAGAGAAAGTTAAGACGTTTTCATTGTTGAGCATCTTATTTTTCTTTTTTCTAGAAATTTTTAAATTTTTTTATTTTTCTGTATTGTGATTGGACAATTTAAATATTTTAATTAATAATTTAGTATAAATTATTCATATTAAATGATTTAAATTAATGAACCTTATTTATATATAACTATAACTATCTATCTATCATAAAACACTTTATTTGAATAGCTTAAATTATAAACTACCTAAAATTTAGCTGAATTTTTAAATCCAAACACAAGTTATAGTTTTTCAATATAATAGTGCTCCTTGAATTATTTGTATCTCTTTGCACGATACTTTTTTATTTTTTGGGTTTTTATTGTTTTTTTATTTCATTTCAAAGCACGATACTTTATTCATTACCAATTTATTATTGACAGTGATTTTTCGCAAGTATACAAAATCATGACAAGTAATAAAAAATGAGTAGAGTATCGTTCGAATTATATACGAAGTACCAAAATTATGTTAACCTACTATTATTTAAACTGTAATAAAGGGAATTATTTTAAAAAATTAACTTCAACAAATAAAAGAGAATAAAAAGAAATTAAGTAAGGCAATTTTTGATAAAAAGAAATCAAGAATTAAAAACTACTCGGGATTATGATTTCACTTAATTCTATCCAATTTATTTTATTAGTTTGATAATCAATTTTAATTGTTCAAGTAGGGAAAATAATCCTAAAATCACTAATAAGCTCTTAAGTAGGGAAAATAATCCTAAAATCACTAATAAGCTCTTTCGATGTATTGTTAGCTATTTTAATTCAGTCTAATTACCTATCTTCCAATAGCGCGATCAAAACACGAATTTAACAATTTAAGTTTAATGGTTTGTTTATGAATTTATAATCTAAGGTTGTTAACTTATGAAAACCCCCACGAGTCAAACCATATAGCTATTTTAACTCAGTCTAATTACCTATTTTCCAATAGCGCGATTAAAACACGAATTAAATCATTAAGTTTTATGGTTTCTTTATAAATTCATAATCTAAGGTTGTTAACCTATGAAAACTCCCATGAGTCAAACCTTATAGCTTCCACATCGAGTTATTATTCTCATGTAATTTATTATCTTTTTCATATCAAAAACTCTTCTCCCGATAGTGATTAATGAAATAAATCAATCCAGGGGAGAAACTGGGAGAAACTCTTGCCTTGGAAATCATTAAGTTCATAAATCAATCCAGGGGAGAAACTCTGCTTGGAAACATTAAGTTCAATAATAAATTATACTTTGAACAAAGAAAAACAAATCTAATATTATAAATTGGAGAATAAATTAAGCTACATCAAATCCCTAATATGAGAATTTAGTTCGACATAGTAATTAAATGAAACTTAATTAAGCTTGAAAATAATTACATAATCAATATGAATAATGAAAAGTAAAAGCAAGATTAAGAGTTTAGAGATAAAAACTAGTCAACAAATAATGTTGACTGCTTCTTTGAATCTTTACACAAATCTTGAGCACTTGAAGTGTTGAAGAGAGAGAGAAAACAATAGAACAAATGATGGAATATACAATGAATGGATTCTCTCTTTATATAGACTTTTTGGGGAAAACTCCGACTTCGTTTAGGAAATAGAGTCTTTATTAATTAGCGAATCTTTTGGAGATAGGAGACTGTTTAGACTTTTAATTTCTTCTCAATTAGGACTTTCCCATGCATCTAAATAAGATTTAAACTTGATTGGCACGTCAGAAAAATATCTCATATGGGCCCATGCAAGTGGTAGGGACTGGGCTAACGTTTTCGACCCAAAGCAAAACTTGATCTTCAGCACGGGCGTGCTGTGGGGCATGGGCTGAGCGTGTTGAAGCCTTAGTTCTAAGGTGATCACAGCACGAGCCGTGTTCGTCCGCACGTTCTGAGACAAATTTGTGGCACGGGCGTACTGATCTGCACGGCTAGGGCGTGCTAGGCTCTCAGTTACCAAGATTGATGCAACACGGGCCATGCTTAGGTGAGCACGCCCTTAAATCTATATCATTCTGTGGCACGGGCGTGCCAGATAGCACGGCTAGGACGTGCTAGGCTCTAAATCTCCAAATTGATTTTTTCTGAATCTTACACGAGCGTGCTGGGCTGCACAGCCAAGGTGTGCCAGACTTTGAAAGTTTTGCTTTACTTCGCTCTTTTCTGTATCAAAATCCTATAAATTTCCTCAAAATCAAGTGAATTATGTCTCAAGGAAGCTTTGAACAAAAACATAACTAAAAATGAACAAAAACTAATTAAAGTAATTAAAAATACTAAAAATTCTAATAAAAACTATATTAAAAATACTATAAAACTAGTACCTATTATTGAATTTGACCTGCATATTGTGACTGTTTGAGGGATGGTGACTCTGGCATTTGCGGCTGGAGTAGTAACTCTCATTTGACTTCTTTTTCCAGTTACGCGTCCTGATTTGCATAATGACCGAACAAATAATTGTAGCTGTTGGCATGGATATTGTTCTTGGAATTAAACCTGTGGCATCTTGAAGGTGAAGAGACACTACTAATTTCATGTGCTTAATTTTTTGCACTGTCGTGATGTTTATTATGCTTATTCCATAGTTTTTAAGTTTCAGACGTTTCATATTTGCGAGTCTCCATAGGATTATGCAGACAAAAACAAGACTTTTATTGTTTTTTTATTTTATTTCTTCTTAATCAAAGCTCTCCCTGAAAAGTTCACATAATAGATTCTCTCTCTTTTTTTCTTTTTTTTTTATTTCTTTGATTTTTATAATTCTTATACTAGAAAGTGTTCTAAATTAAATTAAAATAATATTATACTTTCTATATAACATTTCAATAAATATTCCAAGATATTCGTTATCTCTTCAAATATTTTCACAAAAACCTCAATTCAAAAATCATATCCTTTTTACTTACTACACTACAACCAATGAAATGAGATAAAATTTAAATTACTAATTTATCGAAACTATTAAAAACGTTTTTCAAAAAGGCCATATGATCTCTTTTATTATATATTCCCACAAATTTTTTTTCCTAGCTTAATCATTTTTTATATAAAAGGCTAAAAATAGTGAAATTGGAAACTAAATATGATTTTATTCATTTTACAAGCATTGAGGGGTCATATGACAAAATCAAAGTGTAAATATATATATTATCCATATTTAATTATTTAAATTGTTAAATTTTATCTATGTATAATTATCTTTGAGTTGTATTTAAATACAACTTAAATATTTTAACAAATATATTCCTGTATGTATGATTATCACAAGGTATTTGAATTGTATTTAAATACAACTAGAGTTGCAATAAAACTTATTTAATATTTAAGTTGTATTTAAATATGATTAGATCGCAGCAAAATTTATAGCAATGAGCAATTTTTGAAGTCTGATGGAAGCATTCTATAATTATAAAGAGTTTGGTCTAACTCGAGCTTTTAACCATGCGATAAAGAATCTCTATTTGAATTGTATTTAAATACAACTAGAGTTGCAATAAAACTTATTTAATATTTAAGTTGTATTTAAATATGATTAGATCGCAGCAAAATTTATAGCAATGAGCAATTTTTGAAGTCTGATGGAAGCATTCTATAATTATAAAGAGTTTGGTCTAACTCGAGCTTTTAACCATGCGATAAAGAATCTCTCTCCATCTTCTTTGTTCATACTATGAGCTGTAGTTTGTATTTTTGCAGTCATATATATATGTTCTGTTATTTCATAAATTTATTAATGATTTTGATTAGTTGTAGTGGTTGGCTAACCCAATTGTCTTTAGAGTTGTATTAATATTCAATTTCACCTTTTAACTTGGCGCTGTAATGGAATTTGATTTTGAAACATAATTTTAGATTTTGATATTTGTTTTATAGGTTGATAAACGCATTGCTTTCTCTTTTTAATTTTAATTTTAATTTTGTAAAAAGCATATCAGGTCCGTAGAGAGGATTGGAAAAAAGTATGCATTATATGTTGTTTTGACTCAGTTTATATTGTTGTTTATATCCGTGAAATTTTTTTTAAAATTTAAACAAAAAGAATTATCTCACCCCCAATATGTATTTTTTTTGGTAGGTTTTTGATTATTCTTCCAAATAATTTGATTATTCATAATAACTTATTAAAATAATAATGTAATCAACTATAACAATTAATAAAATAATATTTAAATACCCGTGAGCGAAACGTGATTTTTTAATATAAAAATGAATCCAATCGAATTTAAAAGAAAATTGAATTAAAATTCAACCAAAATAACAAAAAATTGTAGATATATTGCTATGTTGTACTGTAATTACCTAATTAAGTGATATAATGCCTGATTTAAATAATTTTGGTAATAAATCATTCTGAATTAATTCATATATGTCAATAAATCGTAATCAGAGTTGTACCACAACTTTATATAAAATATAAATATAAATAATATGTGATCTATAAATCTATAAATACCCATCTAAATTCATCAACATATCATCAAATAAATCCTAGTATCGTCCTTGAACTTAAAATTAAGTCATGGCAATTAATCCTCTCAAAACTCTTTTGGTGACTCTCTTGGTCTGTGCACTAGTAGTGTCTCCAATGATGACCATCGAGGCATCTCCTCTTAATCATCATCGAGGTATATACTATATAATTACTTATTGCATGTCACCAATGGCTATATATTTTGAATATATTTACCATTGTTTTAATATGAATGCTAATGTTGCAGAGCTCCGAAAGGTACCATCAAATTGTGATCCCGGCTATTATCTCATATGCACGCCGAATGGTGAATGCAAGTGTTGTCCAGATGGCACTCTTCCTAGCGGTTGCTGAAAATCAAATTATTATGAATGAATAAAAGAGTATCTCCATATGGATATAAATTAAAAGAATGTCTCTCTTTATATATTTGTCCATAATTGGTATGAGCTATTCAATTATGTTATAGCTATCATATGTTAATAAAAGAGTACCTCCCTTAATATATTTATGTTTGGTAATAAACAACTTTGATACTATTGATGGAATTTGTTTTCTTATTTTATTTTGTTATTCATATTTTAGTATTCACATGACGAATATCGGAAAACTTTTGAGTATTATATTAAAGTAAATTGGAAAATTTTTGAGTATTATATTAAAGAAATTTTCATACTGTCGAAAATTGATAGAAAATAATATAATATCAACAAATTTTTATAACCAATGGCAAATAACAAAAAAATATATTAAAAGAAAACAAAATCTCTCACCATAGCCAAAGCACAATTTTGACCAAATCGATGTGAATAGAGTAAACTTAGACATATAATCCACGATATAAGTGATAAAAAATACTAGTTTTATGAATTTATTATATACTGCTTGTTTCTAATAAAATCTATCGGAGTTTCATCCTTTTTTTTATCAGCAATTTGAATTATTATTTTATTAATTTGTTGCAATACTACTTTAAAAATAAATTAAGATTGAAATTATAATTAAAAATAATATAAACATCGACTCTATAATCAATCAAACTTAATTAAATAGAAAACATAAGATTTGAATTAAAATTAAGAATTAATCGTTTTGCATGTTTTATCCTTCAGCTTATTAATTATCTTCCTCCCCTTGAAGGTAATTGAATGATGGTTATTGACAATGGCAAAGGAATCACAATGTTTGTTTTGTCGATCTAGGGAGTGTAATCTTGAATTAATATTCATCTCATTATTTTTACATCTTAAAATTGATTCGATTTTAAATGAAATACACCATCTTGATTATTTATTTATTTATTATATGATTACTTGAGTTTGATTTTCTTATTTATTATTTAAATACTTGGGTTAGATATGGAGTCCATATTTACATTATTTTAATCAAAATTTCAATATTAGTTTACTGTTAGAGTGCAGTTGGAATACATTGACAAGTTCAGGTGTTATTCAATTATACCCTAAAAGCAAATTATGGTATAATTGCAACTAAGTTGTTAAGTACTAGATCCCAAGATACAAAAGTGGCTTTAGATATATACTTATTTTGAATCTTCCTTAAGTAATCTCGGAGATAAGTCATTTCAAAATAGATCGAGATTCGAATCTCTTCTCCTTGTGCTAAATGAAAAAGTCATTTCAAAATACTATAAAATCAACCATAACCATATATATAAGTGGTAAATATTCCTGGTTCTAGGAATTGATTATGAAATGCCTATTTCTAATAAAATCTATAAGAGTTCTTTGATTACGGAGTTTCATATATTTGATAAAATAATAAATTATATTAAGATTGATATTAAATATATGTTTCTTTGATTACGGAGTTTCAAATATATTTGATAAATAATAAATTCATATTAAGATTGATATTAAAATATCATATATATATATATTATATATATATATATATATAATATATAAAAAGGATTTTAATTTATTAGTTAAAAAATAAAAAAAATAAAAGCAATTTAATTTTTGTTAGCATATTAACTTTCCATCTAAATCTAAATTTCATTGGATAAATTACAAAATTATATTATATATTAAATAAAGTAAAAATGTAAGGTAATTTAAGAATTTTAATTTTATTGGTTAAAACATAATGGTAATTTAATTTCAATTGGTTATATTATATTATATAAAGTCATATTAAATAAGGTAAGAATATGATATATTTAATTATAATTTTTAACAAATATTTAATTTCAAGTAACTTATTCTTTAAAAAAAAGTTGTAATTTGTGATTATTTATTAAAGAATATATTATAAGATTTATCGATCAATATAAAATAGAAAATAAAACTTATTGAAAACATATATATAATATAAAATTATGATAAAACATGTTATATTAGCAAACTATATAATAAATTGAAAGAATTTTTTTCCTAAAAAAAGGCAACCATAAAATTAATTGTATACTCATAGACTTCATCAAAAAATAAAAAAAAATCAAAATTATTTTATAAAATTAATTGAATGTTAGAAAATTAATCAAAACTAATTCCAAATTTGTAAAGTGGCTTTAACAGCTTTTTTTTTTCTTTTTTAAATCTCTCTTATAGATTTCTAAATCATAATAATTCAATTATTTTAATATAAAATTGAATCCAACAAAATTTAAAAGGAAAGTGAATTATTCAATTATTTTAATATAAAATTGAATCCAACAAAATTTAAAAGGAAAGTGAATTAAAAAATAACAAAAAATTTTAGATATATTGCCGAATTGAACAGTAACTCTAATAAATAGATATAATACTAAATCGAATCAATTTTGGTAATCAATCATACTGAATTAATTCATATATTCATATATGTCAATAAATCGTAATCACAATTAGTATCATAACCTTAAATAAAATATAAATATAAATGATATGTGATCCATAAATCTATAAATACCCATCTAAATTCATCAACATATCATCAAACAAACCCTAATATCTTTCTCGGGCTTAAAAAATTAAGTAATGGCAACCAATTCTCTCAAAACTCTTTTGGTGACTCTGTTGGTCTGTGCACTAGTAATGTCTCCGATGATGCCCATTGAAGCATCTCCTCTTAATCATCGTCGAGGTATATCCTATATCATTACTTATTGCATGTCATCAATGGCTGTATATTTTAAATATATTTACGGTTGTTTTAATATGAATCCTAATGTTGCAGAGCTCCGTAGATTACCACCAAATTGTGACCCTGGCTATTATCTTGTATGCAAGCCCAACAATGAATGCAAGTGTTGTGAAGAAGGCACGCCTCCTAGCAATTGCTGAAAATCAAATTATTATGAATAAATGAGTATTTCAATAAGAATATAAATTAGAAGACTGTCTCTCTTTATATATTTATTTATAACTTGTATGAGCTACTCAAATATGTTTAGCTATCATATCTTAATAAAAGAGTACCTCCCTTAATATATTTATTTATGTTTGAAAACAAAGAACTTTGAGTTTATATTATTTATTATATTATTGATGGAATTTATTTTCTTATTTTATTTTGTTATTCATATTTTAATTTAGTATTCACATGTGAATCTTGGAAAAAAGTAGTAGTTTTCCAGCATATAAATTTTCAAATCCAATTGAAATAATTTAAATATTTTAATGTATAACCGAATCCAATCAAAATAAGCAAATTTTTTAGATATATTCCTGGATTGAATTGTAATTTCTTAATTAAGTAGATATAATTTTTTAGTTTGAAGATATAATTATTCTCCCTGAGCAATCCCAGAGATAAGTCATTTAAAAAAAGATCGAGATTCGAATCTCCTCTCCTAGTACTAAAAAAAAAAAGGTCATTTCAAAATACTATAAAATCAACAAAAACCATATATATAAGTGGTAAATATCCCGGTTCTAGGAATTGATTATGAAATGCCTATTTCTAATAAAATCTATAAGAGTTCTTTGATTACCGAGTTTCATATATTTGATAAAATAAATAATAAATTATATTGCACATTGTTTAAGATAATAAATTAATTGCACATTGTTTAAGATATTATATTATATATATATATATATATATATATATATATATATATTATATACATATATATATAAATACATATATATATAAAGAATTTTAATTTTATTGGTTAAAAAATAAAAATAATTTAATTTTTGTTTGCATATTAATTTTTCATCTAAATCTAAATTTCATTGGATAAATTATGAAATTATATTATACATTAAATAAGATATATATTAAATATGGTAAAAATATAAGGTAATTTAAGAATTTTAATTTCATTGGTTAAAATAAAGTGGTAATTTAATTTCGATTGATTATATTATATTATATAAAGTACATATTAAATAAGGTAAGAATATAATATATTTAATTAATACTTTTAACAAATATTTAATTTCAAGTAACTTATTGAAATATCCGGAATTTTTATTTTTTAAAACTTTTGAATTTTTATTAAATCAAAAATCGAAAATTTCAACCGTGTCGGATGTAAATGTAATACAGTCTCTCAATTCGAGTCCAAATTTTCAAATTGAGCCCAAGCCCAAAACAGTTTATTTGGAAATGTTTAATTTGGGAACACTTAAAATTTTCGATGAAATAAAATGGAGCTCTAGTTACTAAACGATAATGAATGTAGGTATTTGTATGTAACTACTATATAAATTAATCATCCTAAAATCAAATGTCATTATTATTAATGTTTTATTATTAATGAGTAAATGGAGAAATATTACGAAACCGAATTAAACAATTAAAATAAATTGAACCGGATCCGAAAATCAATTAAATGTATCGAAAACCGCACGAAATATTCCGAAAACCGAATGAAAAACTCGAAACTCGAACAAAATGAGACCAAATCGCTAAATCGGACCAAGCCAGTTCGAATCGAACCGGATGGCCCAAAAGCCCAATTTCCTTTCTTTCCTTTTTCTTCTTTTCCTTCTTCTTCTTCTTCTTCTTCATTTTCCTCTCGCGCGCGACAGCCTCTCCTCTTCCTCTCCTTCGCGTTTCCGGCCACCGATCAGCAAGATGAAGGTGGCGATCGGTTCCTCTGGCGATGCTGGACACGATTCCAACCTCCCCTCGCTCCGATCGGACCTCCAGCGGCGCGAATCGAGGACATCCCCTTCGACAGTCACGCTCTTCGATCTCCGGCGACTTCTCGCCATTTCTGACGGGCTCAAGGTGAACCGTAGGTCTCGATCGACTCCTCTCCCCCATGTGAACATTTCTCCTCCATTAATTTGTGAATTTGCTTGAGTTTTGATGAACCACCATGGGCGGCGGCTTGAAGGCGGCTGTGGAGGTCGATCCGGCCAAACGAGCCATTGGCTCAACAAATTGATGGTAGATTTGGACTCCTTGCAACTTTTTGAGTCGAATGGTGTGATCGTTGTAACGAATGGTTTGTGATCGTTGTAAAAATTCTTGGGCGGTTTGACTTTTTTCCGCCACCGTGTAACAGTTGGATACGGCAGCGGTCGCGGCGAGACTCCGGCTCCGGCGAGACTCCGGCGAGGACTCCGAGAGGCAGAATGATCTCCTCTTCGCGCGGATCACGAAAATCAAATCCGATTTTTGATCGGTACATTGTAAGGCCTGGTTGCTTATTTTCGGTATAAATTTCAAAACTTGAATTAATTAATTAATTGAATATAAGATTAATTGAATTAGTAAAAATTGGAAATTTATGGACATCGATTATAGAATCGGACTTCTAGGCAGTTGAAGAATAATAAAGATTTTCACCGAAAATAAAAAAAAAAATATTTAAGTTTCAAATTATCAATCTAATTAATCTGTAAATATCGTGAATTATGATTAATTACATTATAAAAAGGGAAATTAATAATTATAATACATCGGTGGTATAATGTCTAGTTATATTAATCAATAGAAATGATTCCTCAAATATAATTAATATCATGGCTAATGCGTACTTTATTTTGATATTACGAATATTAACGTTAATTTACTAATGATACTTATTTGAAGAGTATAAACAAAAACGTTAATTTACTAATGATACTTATTTGAAGAGTATAAACAAATAAATAAATAAACAAGCGTAACGAATGTATATATAGTTTAATAACTTAAATATCGACTAACATTATTATCATTATTATTATTATTATTATTATTAGTAATATTAATATTTTGATTAGTATTATTATAAAATATTACTCAACAAACAACTAAACTTTTTATTTAAAGGCGATACATTAG